CCCTGCCACTGCACTCTTTTCTATTCTATATATATATATTTATATATATGTATTTATATATATAGACGCCTAACCCAGCAGGCACCTTAACCTTTCCGGGGCGGAGCAGCGCCCCCGCTCCCCGGGCCCGGTGCCTGCGGGCCAGGACCGATAGCCGCCGCCCCCCCCCCGCCCCTTTCGGCTCCTCTGCCCCGTTAAAGGCGAAAATTGGGCGGAACGGCTCAGGTCTCACACCCCCGGGTTTAGGGCAGGCTCCCTCCCGCCCTCGGTCGGGCTGCAGCCCCCGTTGGCACCGCCGCCGCCGCCCATCCCCGCCGCATCCCGCCCGGCGATCTTGATAAAAAAATAAATAAATAAATCAAAACTTCTGGGTCACGGCGTTGGTTTGGGCGAAGGATGGGAAGGAAAGGGCGGCGCCGGGGGGGGAATCACGGGGCTGCCATCCCTTCCCCGGGGTGCCCATCCCTTCCCGGGGTGCCCATCCCTTCCCGGGGTGCGTCCCGCCGCCCCCCCCGCGGTTACTCACGGCTCTCCCTGCACGGCGGCGGCCCGGGGGGGGCGGCTCTTGCCCACCCCCCACCCCGGCCTGGCAGGGCCTGGGAGGCTGTAAGGGGAAAAAAGGGAAGGAAGGGTGGTTTGTCGCAGGCTCCGGCGCTGCCTCCGCGATCCTCTGCCTCAGCGGCCGGATAACGCACCCGGCTCTGGTTTATAAAGCCCCGAGCAAACTATAGATTAAAAGCCATTAAGGGTACCTCGGCATGAGGTAACTGCAATAGACACCCTGCTCCTTCCCCACCCTAAGCCTTTCCTTCTCTTTGTGGCACACAAATCACAACGCGCTGCCAGAACCAGAATTTGTCCCGGTATAAGTCACGTTTAATAAAGATGCTCAAGTCTTTTCTTTTTTCTTTTTTTTTTTTTTTTTTCCACCCTAAGAGATCTATGAAATGCAAGCTTTAAGACTTGAAACAACTCTTTAGCTGGCTCATCTTCCACCCTGCATTAGCTTCATTCTGTACTGCAAAAATCGAGATTTATGGGGTTAGATTCCAGTGCCAAAAGAGGGAACACCTTAGAAAATATGCCCAGAGCCATGATGTAACATCTGAAAATGTCCCTTACTCAGCATTTACCGCTGGCAACATAATGCCACCACCATCCTATCACCCTGTCCTCCAAAACAAAGGAACTGCATCCAGGCTGGGGGGGGGCAAACACTTTCCTGGCAGAAATTCCTGACATTGCAGTTTGCATCCTTCATGAAGGAACCCCCAATTTATGAGAGGTACCTTCCTCTGATAAGCTTTTTCTATCATTACTTCCTTTCGCACACAGTGAACAGTAAATTTTGACAGCTGTCACTCATCCTTCTGCATTTTCAGTATTTAGGAAGGAATCCTGGAAATGGCAAAAGTGGAAAGTTTTGACAGCTGAGACACAGGTGAGAGACCAGAATTTGCTGCTTCTCAAGAAGACAAAAAAAAGGGTGAAAATGTACACGTACACAATAACACTATTTTTCTGCTTATGAGTATGTATGCCTACATCCAGAAATAACAGACAAGTTTATTACAGTGTAAAAATGAAGTTGATATCATAAATATTTGATAGCTTTAACAACACAGCTCATTTAGGGCCCAGTTCGACTTTCAGACAGGATCATGGGTATGATTCTCTTTCAAAAATGTCCTAAGTCTAGGTAGGATAGAGTAATAAATGAAAAAGAAATACAATTATGCAACTCCTTTCTGGGAATAAATACATTCCAACTTGGATGAGAAGAACATCTTTTTCCACCTTCTAAGTGTCAGGACCCCTCTGCCTGGAAATGCGATTCCTCACAGACCATCCACACCTCACATCCACCATTTCAAAGAATGAGAACATTTTTCTCCAAAATCCTTTCACTGACCAATTCATTACAAGTCTCCGACGCATTTAATTACACCGACTACAGCCATACATGGGCCCTTTCCCTGTCACACAGCCACTCTCTGCCCTTCCAGAGGCACACAAGGCACTGCTTCCACGCTCTTGGTACAGTATGAGCACATGGGAAATGTCTTATTGTACCAACAGAGAAATCGTCTACTCCAGTAGCTCAAATTTTAAAGGATCAATGTGCATGTAACGATGAGACCATCTTAAACAACTTTAAAAGCTGCTATGGCTTCTGCTAATGAAGCTTGTTTTTTTCTTCTTTAATAGAGGAAGGCAACAACAACCCACAACTAAAGATCACTTGATTCCTACGCAGTACTCTATAAAGGAATGACAAGTTGTACTAAATAGCACCTAATAAGTAAAATATACATTTTCTAGTCCTACTTAATCTGGTTGGCCTCTTTTTTTGGGCTGCTTCTCTGATACATTCCTATCTCCGGTTTTCCTCATGTATCTTCCTTTAATCCTCCACTATACTTTCCATGCCTCATTCTGTTTCTCTGTTGTGATCACGCAGGTTCAAGATGCTTCTTCCTCCCCATTTTTTTTCTTTTATCTTAATAAATTGTAAATTTCATCAGTCTCTAACCCCATGACTCCTACATACCATCAGTCTTACCTGTTTCTGCCTATTCTATTTCCCTGGGTGAGTATCCGGGTTTTGAGCTGTGTATACTGCTATTTATTCAAATTTCTGCCATATAATAATCACCAGTGCTGCTGACTTACTCATTGTCTTATTCTCCTTGATACTTCCTAGCTAGAAAAATCTTCAAGGAGTTGCTTCTGTATAAAACTGTAAATACCGACTCAAAAACGGGCTATAAATATGAGAGACTTTCTGGAAAACTTGTAAAGTATAAGCCCGTGACCAAATTACACTAGTGCATGTACATTGCACTGGTTTTCTGCCCGTGACAATACTCGATATTCTGCATTTTAACATTTACTAATATTCATCGTTCAAGAAATACTCCTGGCAGAATCCAGAAAAATGAACAACCCCCTTTTGTTTAACAGCCTTTAAAGCATGGTGCAGAATGTGTGTTACCAAGTGGATATATCCTGAGAAATCACTCACTCTCTGCTGAAACATAGCCATCAAGGATAGAAAGAAATATCTGTGCTGTAAGTCACAAGAAACTCAATTCAGCTCCCATAGCAATTCTTATTGAATTCAATAAAATTCAGTTTATCCTAAGAATATCTCCCTGTAAGTAATCTGCTGTCTGAGACACACCTTTTTACCGCCTCCTGCACTTTCACTCTCCTTTTATTGCTTTTTTTTTTTTCCTCCCTTAGCCTTGGATGTTTTTCCCCCTTTCAGGTGTCTGTCATCCTTGCATTAAACGGAAGGAAAAATGGAAGTATCCTGTGTACCTTTTAAAAGCCATTATGGTGTATTACACATTATATTACAACTGCATTCATTCATCAGCTCTGGGGGTGGTGAAGCTAGAAGAAAGGAAACTGGGACACTCTGGTAGCCTAGTTCCTCAGCACATCCTTCACCGCGTGTGCAGAGTATCAGAGCAGGTTCTCTATCTCAACACAGGAGCTCAGCAGAGCACTGGCATCACAAAAGCTAAGGGAAGGCAATAGTGACTTCAAGCCCCGTAGCATGCAGTCAAATCATGGGCTGTAGCCTGCAGCCCTCAAAAGTCACAGGAGGAGGACTGCAAAGGCTTAAAGGAATATTTCTGCTTGATCCCAAAAGCAGCAACAAAGATTTATCAAAACACACTGTATTATCTTTTTCTTTTCTTTGCTCCTTCGGCCCTCCAAAGCACATAATATTATACCACAGCTCTCGCAGAACAGCTCCAGGAAGAAGCAGCCTGGCAAGAATCACCCCCTCTCTCTTTTCACATGACCACATAGTATCTAGATCTAAGCCCAAACAAATAATTCATATGGGTAAGAGATGCAAATGTTTTTCCACCCCTTCTCTTCCAAATTATCAATACTACCACTGTCTGCTTTAGCATACTATTGGGAAAAAAAAAAAAAAAAACAAACCTTTTCTGTTGTTATTGAATCAAATACACTGTTCTCTGTATCTTGTTGTAATTGAATCAAATACACTGTTCTCTGTATCTTCCCTTCTTAATATTTATGCTGCAGTTTTCCCAACAGCTCATGCACACTCCTTTTTTTTTTCCCTAATCCCTCCCTAAGAAAAAATGAAAAAAAATTAAAAATACAAAAAAATTGCAAATTTTTTGCAAACTTGGAATATAAGGTGACATCAACTAGTAACTGATGTACCACAAAAGCATTAAATAGCAAGAGACTTTTACAAGGGCCAGAAAACACCTGCTGATCTAAACCAAGGTAAAAAGAACCCTCTGCAAAAGCAACTTCCTGTTTCAAACACTGAAAATGCAATTCACTCTGTTATGTTAAATACCATCTTACAAGTAAATCTTCCATCACACGTGCTTGAGGAGTGGCTCTATGTGAAGAACAAATGGAGTCAGCAACTGGTAAATGAATCCTGAGAACGATGGAATTAGAATTTCCTGACATCCGCTCAAACCAAACGCTCAAGTCAAAACCATACAGAACAAATGAAATCAAGTT